TCCCCCCTCCGCAGCCGCAGAGGAGGCGCCGCCCCTTCCCCCTCCCGGCTCTGCGTCTGGCGCAGCGGGGGGACGATGGGAGGGGATGTTCTCGGGCCTGGTGGGGTGGAGAAGATCCCATGTCTTACTTGCGTCTGGGTTTCCTCCTGCCTGCGACCCCAGTTCCCTCCAGGAATTCAGGGACCCCTTTGGGGAAGCGGCTCCCAGCTCCCCCATGGAGGACGCCAGGATTTAGGATGGGGGCAGGCAGCATCCCAGGAGAAGAAAACCAGACCCTGGGCCACCCTTCCGGAGCCGTGGCCGACGCTAGGGGCTCTAGAAGTTGATTTTGGGGGTCTGTGTGCGAAGCTGGGCCCCCCGGGGGCCTGGGAAATCTCAGACAAATAGTGGTGACGGTAGCCCGGCCAACATAGTAGGTGCTTAGTAAGTATAGGCTCCGCGTGTAGCCAGTTTCACACTCCAGGGCATTCACTAGGCCCTAGTGACTAGGGGATGCGGAGGTTTTCTGTTTCATCTGCACATTCTTCTGCCCATTTTTCAGAAGAGAAAAGTGAGGCCCAGGGAGGGAAACGTACCCCGCCTCCCCCGCAGCCCCCCGTCAGCCAGCATGTCAGAGGCCCAAGGAACCTAACCCTAACGCCTGCTTTAGGGCCCTCCGAAGCGGGAGTGGGGAGATTTGGAGGCGGCCTCCCCGTTCCCACACCTGAAGTCAAAGGCAGCAATGTGGGTACTCCAGCTCTGGCTTTGGCGAGGGAAGGGTTAAGGGGATAGAGATCCTCTCTTCCTCAGCGCACCTCTAATCTGCTTCTGTTAATCCCCAGCTGGATGGGATCCTGGTCCCACCCCTGCCTCAGGGAATTAGGTACCTGGGAGGAGAGGGGAGGGGGGGAGGCGTACATTGATAGTCAGGCGGGGATTGGGGTCCAGAGGGCATTAAGCAGGGGCACAGAAGCAGCCCTCCACCCACCATTTCCCCCCACGAGGCCGCCCTTGGGGCCTGCAGGCAGAGTGTTAAGAGTCTACACAAGTCTGCTCGTTTACCCCTCACACCCCTATGAGGTGGGCGCTGTCACCGTCATTCCCATTCCACAAAGGAGGACATGAGCTCAGCGGGGTTTAGACACCTGCCCCGGGTCACCTGGTAAGCGCTGATGGTCTGGAAGATGCTTTCCTGACAGTGGATCCCCTATTTTAGCTCCTTTTGTGAGCTGAATAGACCGAGGATCTCCCAGATCGTCAAATCCTGGTTTCTTTTTGCCTAACACTTCTTCCCGCCCACATTTTACTATGAGCGGCAAGAAGAAACCAGGAAATCCCCCGCTGCTAAATACCCAAGTTCGTCACTTAGTTACAAGCTCTGCTTTCCTGATAACTGTGGGACACAACTCCGCTAAGTCTCTGCCCCTCTAGAGTCGGGACCGCCTTTCCTCCAAATGTGTTGTCCCACAGTCCTTCCATTCTAGAACATTCCCAAAAGACAGACTGGTTAGCAAACATAGAAAATGTCCAGCTTTACAGACCAAAGAAATGATAATAAAAATAAGAACATACCATGTCCTGGCACTCATTAAAATAGGTACAGCTTTGCCCTAGCCGGTTTGGCTCAGTGGATAGTGTGTTGTCAGCCTGCGAACTGAAGGGTCTGGGGTTTGATTCCCAGTCAAGGGCACATGACGGGGTTGCAGGCTGGATCCCCAGTAGGGGGCGTGCAGGAGGCAGCTGATCAATGATTCTCTCTCATCATCGATGTTTCTATCTTTCTCTCCCTCCCCCTTCCTCTCTGAAATCAATAAAAATACATTTAAAAAATAGGTAAAGATTTAAAAATTAACAAAACCCAGTGCTGGCGAGAATGTAGTGAAACAGACATTTTCATAACTTGCTTGGAAGTAAATGTGTGTATGGACTAGGAAAGCCATTTGGCAAGAGGTCTAAGACAAGTTCAGACCATATGGTCCAAGTCCCAGGAGTCTATCCTGATCTTGGGAAAAGATATATATGTCCTTAAAGATCTTCATTGCCATATACTTGTGAAAATTGCTATAAATCAGTGTTTCCCAGCCTTTCTTTCATTATTAGTCCCCCCAGAGCAGTTTTAGATATTTTTTTCCTAATCACTTCTTATGAAATTTTAGTACCACCGATATACTGCATATTAATTTACATACTGTACATATATCTGTGTTTTGTACATTAAAAGAGTAAGATTTTTCACCCTACAAGAACAAATTTTTGCCCCAGTTGAGAATGAATGCTATGAATAACGGTACGGCCTTCTGATGGAATATGATACAGTCCTTTAAAAAGAATCAGGTTCCACCCGGTCAGCTTGACTCAGTGGGTGAGTGTCGACCTATGAACCAGGAGGTCACGGTTGGATTCCCAGTCAGGGCACATGCCCGGCTTGCTGACTCCATCCCTAGTACGGGGTGTGCAGGAGGTAGCTGATCAATGCTTCTCTCTCATCATTGATGTTTCTATCTCCCTTTCCCTTCCTCTCTCTGAAATCAATAAAAATATATTTAAAAATAAATAAATAAATAAAAAGAATGAAGTTCCAAATGAGAAAAAAGACAGCTACGTAAGAGGAAAGTGTGCAAAAAGCATGAACAGGCATAGTGTGAACCATGAAACACGGGTGGCCAACACGTGCATGGAGAGATGCCCAACCTCTTTAGGGATCAAGCAGATGCATGACAAGGTCACAGTGAGGCCTCATCTCACCCCTATATCATTGCCCCAAATTTAAAACGTCCACCAATACCAAATGTTGGACAGGCTGTAAACACGCAGGGCTCTTCCACATTGCAACCACTTTGGAAAACAGACTAATATTAAACACCGAACATTCATGTGTCACACAACATAGCCTGTGTCTCCCGGACACAGAGCCACAAGAAACCCTTGCTTGTTGCCCCCGGAAACATGCCCCATAATGTTCAGCACTATACTGTGAAGAAGAGGAAAACGCTGAGAGAATGGAGAAATGCATTGTGGGAAATTCACCCAAGGGCCTATTAATCAGCAGCCACAGTGATGTTCTCAGCTATAGGCAAATAGTGTGGCTGGATTTAGCAACAGAACATCAAGTGGAACAAGAAGTTCCCAAATATTCCACATAGCATGGTGCCCTCTTTGTAAAGTTATAGTAACTAAAGTGAAGCAACATTTTTTTGGGGGAAATACATGTTAGAGATACAATTATTTTCAAGCAAGGAAAGGATAAATTCCAGTTTCAGGAGGATGGTTAACTTTGGGGTACAGGTTATTGCTAAAGTTCTGTTTATCCTGGTGGTGTTGAGTTTTAGGGTATTTATTCTATTAGCAAACCTTTACATTTACTAATAAAAGGAACAATGATGAAAGCAAGTCCCAAGTCAGACTGGGATTACACTCATCCTAGCATCTAAAGCCCAATAAATAGTTAAATCGTCAACTCAAAATTAGAACGTGCTGAGAGCAGACTGTCAGCTCCATGATGGGGTGTGGTGGGGAGGAGTCGGTCTTGTTCACAGCTGAATCCTGGACACAGAAAACAGTGCCTGGTACATAGTAGGTGCTCAATAAAAATTTGTGGAATTAATAAAAGTCTCAGAGAGACCAAAGGGCTTGTAAATCCCATTTTAAAAGAATCATATATGTATATATATTAAATATATGTATTATATATATGTAAAATGTATATGTATGAAATATGA